GGGGGGGGGGAGAACTCTGATCTGAAGAAGCTCAATAGAACTATAATGTAATTCCATAATTGCATGATAACAAAAAGAGGAAAAAACTATGTGAAACAGATAAACTCTGATCTGAAGAAGCTCATTAGAACTATAATGTAATTCCATATTAACAAAATTAAAAAAGAAACAACAGATTATTTTTCCCAAACTTTCTGTCATCTACATTTTTGTTTCGAAAAACACAGTTACCAAAGAGAGAAAACAGCCCTAGAAAACACTGATCCATGTTGTTTCAACTATGAAAATAACATGTAAGAAAATCATCCTATAAGAACATCAAAAACTAAAAAGCAATGATAAGTAGTAAATCAGAAATCAGAAGAAAAAATGCGTCCCAAATCCACTATCGTCATCAGGACCACAAAAGAATAGAAGAACAGATTTTTTATTGGACATCACAAAAGAATAGATTGAATCCTTATTTATCCAAAATTACTACCTTTAACAGAAAAATTCTACTTAAAAACACGTTCAACGATAGAAAAAGACCAAAACAATTGATCTGGAGCATAACAAAGGTCCATTCAGATTTTCAACTTTAAAACAGAAACTTCACCGCCCATGTAACATTACCCAACCTCGCTACTCATATCAATATAAACCAAAACACTTCAAAAAAACAATGAATCAAATATATAGCCATCAAAAAATGAAACGGAAAACCTTAATTTTCACACATGTCACCTCATTCGTGATGATCTAGCACAATATTACCTTACAAGCCTTTACAGATCATATCAGACCATATTGAATTAGTATATGAAATGGGTCATCTAAATCCCTACATTTTAATGCTCATAAATAACGAAAAGTTAACAAAAGACATGGTTTTGAAGCCGAAAAGCTTACTTGTCTTGCTCAACAAGAGCGTTGGTTGCAGAACGAATGCCAGAGACGTGAGGAGAGTGAGGGGCGGTAGATGGAGATGGTGAGTAAGCCATATATCTTCCGGAAGACATATTTGCCTGGAGGATGGGCGATAGATCCAGGCCTGATTCCGGCGAGATGGGTAGGGATCCCAAGCAGGCGATGCTAATCGAGTCGGTAGGAAGAGAGGTACTTATAGAGGGAGTACTGTGATGGTGATGACTGATGACAGGTTAGCGAGAGAGAGAGAGAGGAAAAAAGAATAGTTAGCTTTTTACTCGCATACTGTCCGAACGACACTCTTTTGCCACTACACGTACACGTACTACTACTACGGTTTATTTACTACCGACCATTGTACTGCTGTTCATTATCTTTTACCGTTTTGACTTGGGGAGCGTCTTGTCTTGGGACTGGGGAACCTGGATCCAATATCATGGGACCCATGACTCGCCACCTGGCAATGCCTCAAGAAGTGGTACCCATAAGTTGATGGGTTATATTTCCTATCTATCAAAAACTAATATATATCTGCTAACAGGTAATTCCATGTTACTGAGGCTTCAGTTATTGGGGCGAGTTGTAGAACGGGTAAAAATAGGTAGAAGGAGAAAATATTTTATGAATCAAATACTTTTTTTCCTAAAAATGAATTCTTTTCATACTAACAAGTGTTTATGTTGCTTATTTTCATTCATCAAAAAAATTGTGTCAATATTCACAAACCGCTAATCTAGGTCTCCAATAGTCAATGTTTACCAATTGGCATAGATGTTTTGTAAAAGTACTTTCGTAAAAGTGCTTTTATAAAAGTACTTTCGTAAAAGTATTTCCATAAGTACTTTCGTAAAAGTACTTTTGTAAGAGTACTTTTATAAGTGTTTTCGTAAAAGTGCTTCAATAAAAGTGTTTTCGTAAAAGTGCTTTCATAAAAGTGTTTTCGTAAAAGTGCTTTCATAAAAGTATTCCATAAAAGTGCTCTTGTAAGTAGACACTTGTTCATGGGCCAGGTAGCCCGACAGGCCGGCTTGGCCCGGCTCGACCCCCAGACGGGCTTGCGCGTGAACTTTAGCCCGCGGGCTTGACCTCGGGCCTAAAAGCCCAAGCCTGACTATTTTACGAGCCGGGCTCGGGATTTGTCACAAAAGCTCGGCCCGACCCGACATTTTGTATTTTATTGTAAACCCTGGCCAATTAACCTTTCTTATTCCCTCTTTTCATCTTTTATCTTTCTCTCCTCATTCTCACTCTCAATAACTAGTACGAATCCAAGGAAGCAGCCACTGTTCTCAGTCTTAGAGGTGGCAGGCAAGCTCAGGCACCGGCAAACTCAAGCACTGGTCGTCTCTCTCTCTGGTGGTGAGTCTTCTCTCTCTCTCTCTCTCTCTCGTCTCTTTCACAGTTCTCACTCACACGCACTCGCATATTCTCAGGATTCAGGAACCGGCAAACTCAAGCACTGTCGCCAACCACGCCACTAGTGAACTCAGTCGCCCCTCTCTCCGGCAGTGAATCTTCTCTCTCTCCACCATTCCTCTCTCTCTTGTCTCTCTCGTAGTTCTCATTCTCATGCATTATTGCATATTCTCAGGAACCAGTGAACTCAAGCATCAGCGATGGCGAACTCAGGCACCGGCGCCAGCCGCACCACCAGTGAACTCAGTCGCCCTGCATTTCAGCCTCTATTAGGTTGGGCTTTGGGCTCGGGCTCGGGCTTCGGGCTTTTTATGAGGGTTGGGCTCGGGCCCGAGTTGTAGGCCCGTTGGTCGGGCCAAGCTCGGGCTCGGGCCAGAAAAAATCTTGTTAATGAAGAGCAAAAGTCCGGCCCAACCCATGAACAAGTCTATTAGTAAGTGATTTTATGAAAGTGCTTTCGTAAAAGTACTTCCATAAAAGTACTTTTGTAAAAATGCTTTCATATAAGTACTTTCATAAAGTGTTTTTATAAAAGTACTTTTGTAAAAGTGCTTTCATAAAAGTACTTCCATAAAAGTGCTTTTATAAAAGTACTTTCACATAAGTGCTTTTATAAAAGTGTGTTTTAGTAAAGTGCTTTTGTAAAAGTGTTTTCGTAAAAGTGTTTTATAAATGTGCTTTCGTAAAAGTACTTCCATAAAAGTGCTTTCATAATAATACTTCTATAAAAGTGCTTTTGTAAAAGAGCTTTCATGTAAAGTAGTTTTATAAAAGTGCTTTCGTAAAAGTACCTTTATAAAAGTGTTTCATAATACTTTTGTAAAAGTGCTTTCGTAAAAGTAAGCATCTATGACAACAAGCTAGTCAATTTTTGTGCTATGGAGCTGATTTTTCATTCTAAAAGGAATGTGGCCATTGGTAAGAATTTTGTAAGCAAACACTAATGTTATTCCTTCTTGCCTAGAATGAGCAAGAATTAAAAGAATGAGGCCCGAAGTAGTGAACCAAACATGGCCTAAGCCACTTTAGTTTGGAGAAACTATTCAAATTATCTTCATAATATAGTCAGGGTGACTATTCGATTTATTCGATTAAAAAATTAACTGAATAAATCCAAATCTAATATATATATTAGAGGAAGGCTTTCAGGCTACAGTCCCCATCATGTAGACATGTGGCTTTTTCAAATTTATACACATGACATTTTTTAAGAAGTTGTTGTTAAAGCCCACAATCCACTACCACCATTCAGACAAGTGGCTTTCTCATTTTTTAGAAAGCTAGACACGTGGCAATTTCTCAAAAATTCCTGCTAAATCCCACAACCCACTACCAGGCTATAGCCCCCCACCTTTCAAACACATGGCCTTCTCATTTTTCTAAAAATCTAGACACGTGGCATTTTCTAAGAAATTGTTGCTAAAGCCTACAACCCACTACCACCATTTTCAATCCATTCCTAAAAAATGCAGAAAATGCAAAAGTAGTCATCCACAACCACTTCTGCCTACATTCTATCAATCTTAGTTAATCATTAACCCTCTATGTATCATAACAAAAGAAAACTATCAATATTTTAATAATTATTGAAAAAATATTTTTTGAAATAAATATTTCTTGAAATTTTTAATAATTATTTAAAAAAATAATAAATATAAATTTAACATTATTGATTCCATAATGTAAATTTAACATTACTAATTCCATGTACTTATTACAGGGTCATTCACTAGTATATATTAAAGTATTAAAGGAAGGTCGCAACCTCAACTTTATGGAAAAAGCATCTCAGAAGTTGGTTGTTCACATTTTCAAAGAGAAACCGACTCCTCATATACATAAATTGCTTTTAACCACATTAAAATTTTTGAACTAAGACATGTAGAACTCTAAGACAAGTGTCATACATTTAATAATAGTTCTTTAGTAGACCTGTTCATGGGCCGGGTGGCCCGACGGGCCGGCCCGGCCCGGCCCGGTCCCCAGATGGGCTTGAACAGGTATATAGGCCCGCAGGCTTAACCTCGGGCCAAAAAGCTCGACCCGCAATAAATTCGAGTCGAGCTCAGGATTTGCCAAAATAGCCCGGCCCGAGCCCGGCCCGGCCCTACCTATAAATAAACCTAAAAACCCTAGTTGAATACCCCTCTTTTTTTTCACCTCTTTCCCTTCTTTTTCCAACCAAATTCTTTTTCTCCACATCCTCTTTCCCTTCTTTATATATTTTTTTAATATAAATAAATTT